TGAAGATTTTACAGCAGCACTGACGTGAAAATGAGTCTTGATTTAACACCAGCGAGACACTTACAGCTCAGTAACAGACTTAACGACTTGTTGTGGTCGTGATTTATGTCTCATGTTGACATGGAGGCGTCTCATGAGCCTGAACACAGCAAACAGCCCCATCACTCAGAGTGACGGAGGTCTTTAGTAGCAGTTCTGACTTACACACTCATCCATCTCCATGTGTCAGACTGAGGATGCAGATGTTTTAAATATTCAGCTTACGGAGGCTGCAGGGTTCATTACAGGTAGATAACATCCTGGTGATTTTTGTCCTCTTAAAGTCAGTAGTGGAGATAAAAATGCAAAGTTTGTCCTGAGCATGGAACAAGAAGAAATATATACTGTGCAAAGTATATCTTGTTTTTGACCTTAAGTACAAGGGAATGGTCAAAGTTTTGTCCTGATGGTGGTGCTAGAGCATCTTCTCCCAACCTCTGCCTCAGGACCTTATAGGTTTACCTGATACGCAAATGCTGTCAGAAATTTAAAAAAAAGAGTTTTAAAGAAGTACATTTTACATTTATTTAAAGCTGGGGTCGCAACATTGGAGAAAACCGCAAGAGTACGCTAGATTTTAAAAGTGTCCAACTGAAAAATCCAGCCCAGTGTTGCCAACTCTTTTTCAATGAAAGTAGCTAGTAGCACTAGCTCCAAAAGTTGCTAAATCTAGCGAGAAAATTACAAAGTTGCTGTCAAAAGTCAAAAACACTGACAGCCCATCTCTTCAGGCCTCCCTCCAAAGCCACTCCCCCAAAATGATCAATGATAAACAACGAACATGGCTAGTATCAATACTTCCAGCTGTCAATTCTTTTGACAATACGAGTAAAGACCAGGTTGATGCCCAATAACAAGGCACTCGATATTATATTTATCCACCTTTTGCGAGCAGCGGAGCAGAGCAACCATCCTATAGCCCGACCTGCAAACCGCCAACTTTATGCATTATTGTAGCAAATGTCACTTTTTGTCAGTGTTATTTTGTAATGTGTCTGTTCAGAACACGGTGGCTTATAATGTTGGTAATTGTCATTTTTGTGATGGTTAATAGTGCTACATTTCCCAGTTGCATTTTCCTACATTGTCACATAATTTCATACAGCAGCCCAACCATCTCATTAGACTCATTAGCAGCTCCTGTTGCGGTGTACCCATGAACCACAACTATCACTGATAATACTAAAGATTTTTTATGGATTTATGGACATATATTCTGGATGGACGTTGGCGATAATGATATCCTGCAGTGCGAGTCACACTGAATGATATCAATATGTGTTTTATTGCTGTGTGTTAACATTTCTCTGAGTTGTGACTCTGAGAAGGACTATGATCTTCGACTCAGATTCACCTGCTAGAGCATCCTTTGCGGAGAATGAAAACATGGAGAAACTAGAGGGATAAACTCTTGTGTGATTATCTTCTCGGCAGCAGAGTCCAAGTCGGCCTGCACTTTAAATCCTGTCTGACAGGGAGGCTGAACCGGTGCGAGGCTCTGGTCTTAATGAGACCTCGGTAAAATACACCACACCTGCTCGCTTCAAAAGCTGCGAATCAATCCCTGCAGTGGAAAGCTCATTCCTGCAGCTGAGGAGGAGGAGGAGGAGGAGGAGAATGAGGAGGAGGGCTAGCAGAGTTTAATCTGTTTTGCAGAGAGTCCCCGTCCTCACTCCTCTCTCCCATCTCAAAAGGACTGAATGTGAAGGACTGTCCCCCTCCTGTCGGCTTTCATCAAGAGCCAACCCAGCGAAACTGAGAGCTTTGTGGTTGTTATACGGCGAACACAGAGCTCTGTCTCCGCCTTGCCGCCTTCGGATCAGACAGACGGGTTGCAGTTGGGACTTTGAAGTTTCCGAATGGCCGTTGTCTGCAGAGTGTCCCCGTCTGTTCTCTTATGAGTCAGACGAGACTCAAGCTAAACGCCCTCAGGGGCGGACACGTCTGAGTGCATCAGATCACGTCCTACAGGCGCTCCGGTGAGAGCTCAGTGACACGTTACAGCCTGAGTCATAATCTCAACGTTGTTCCAGGCGAGTGTGATTATTTTTTTGGGGGCATTTCTGCTTTATTCGGCACAATTTATGACTCGGCCTTAATGGCAAGCGCTCTACCCAGTGAGCCAACAGGGCGCCCCCTAAGGATCTGATCTACCCTTCAGTAACATCTTTTTCTTTACAACAGTACTAAACTATATCTTGTGTCTACTAGGTGGCTACTTTGGACCGATTCTGAAGCCCCCTTTTTTAAAACTTGTCATTTCAAGATAAAATTCAGATGAGATTTATTGGGCTTTCATTTAAACTTTAATTTAAATATTCAACATTCGAGGCAGTTTGTGAAATAGTCACGAAATACAATCGATTGGCTTCGTGGACATGGAACTGTCTGCATCTTTGAATCGTTCAAAACGTTTTTTTTAGGCAACAAAACCACTCGCAAGGTTTGGGCAACAAAAGCACAACCATAAAAGCACAACGCGGTGTCGAACACTGTTTGTCGTGGTTCTCATGGTCTTGGTATCACCATCCTCTACCAACCGCCATAAGTGATCTTTTTGGATATCAAATACGACGTCACTAGCTCTGGCTGTTGCTTTGTCACATGGATGCATTAAATTTTTGTGTCCACCACAAAAAAAAGTATCCTAATTGACTTTGCATTGGCAACATTTTTGGCGTGAGCGACACAAAAAAAAAACAGACAATTTGTGTCCCTGTACATGGAACCAAGAGGTCGTGAGACTATTTCATGACCTGTCATGAAACTGTGCTGAGATATCTCCGTCGGTTCAATCGCAAAACCATCTTGGATTTTCTCAAGCCTAAAAACCAAAACACCGACACAAAGGAGAAAAACCTCTGCACTTTAGTGCTTTAGTTTCAACAACTAATGTTTAACGTCTTCCCAGATCCATATGTTTCACATACGTTTGCAATAAAGAAGTTATTTTCCCGGCATCAGGATACTTGGCAGTAGCTTCTTCTGTGAGGAGGGATTTTACCTGTTTCTCTGTTTTCAGCTCTCTCTGATTTGTTCTATTCTCGTCTAACACTCCAGTCTCTGCTGCTGCCATGACCCAATTTAAGCACGGGGATCAATACAGTTTCATTTTATCCAATCCAGAGAATCAGAGAAATTGATGGCAGAGAAGTCACAGAGGGGATGAAGACAGTGTCGCTGGTGGAGCTCCCGCAGCTCTCTGCCGGCTGAATGAGACACTTTCCCCTCAATCGCCATCGTGTAGAAGGCAGTGAACTCTATTATACTCTAAGAAAAGGACACGTCTGACCACGTAAAAGGAAAACTCCTCCGCTCGTCCTCCTCAGGTCGGCCTCACTGGCTTGTGGATTCATGGTGATGGCAGCATGTTCGGCAGCATTTTAATTGAAAAGGGAATTTCTGCTTAAGAAACACTTCACGTCCGTCTTGTCTCCCTGAACGCATCACTGCCTTCCCCAGTGCTTCCCTGCTGCCTCCACCTGCTTAGAAAAACACTCCCGTCCTGTAACATCAGCGACGGGAGTCAGTGTCTCTCTGGATCCTCATTAAAGAAAATCTGCTGATTTTTCCACCTTACCTCCACCAATCCGAGTAAGGTATATAGTGTGAGAAATGCCTGCAGTTGTCACTGATGTTCTCCGTGTCCCTGTGGCGCAGCTGCAAAATCTGTTGTTCTACCGTATCCTCTTGACGCACTTGGTACACGGAAAAACCAGCTTTGGTAGCTGCGGGGAGCAACGTCGCTCAAATACTTCCTGGTTCTTGTCGCTTGTGTTGGATTTCCAACAGTGAAAATAGCATGCCAAAATACAAGCACAGAGGACAGTGTCTTGGCTGACTCGGACACTCGGGTATCAAGAGCACACATCCGTTTACTCTTGCTGGAGACCTTCAGATCCTGAAAATCAACAAAAGAAAAGACAACCAAGACCAGCCGAGCGATTTTGGAGCGATTTTAGTCTTTGCATTTATCCAATATTCTGCTCAGTGGGCAGCCGGCCCGGCAGAGAGATACAGTGTGCAGAGCCCACACATGTTCACATCTCACTTTGTTAGTTAAGGATTTAATGTCGTCCGTTCTCAAACAATCTTGATCATTTCAGGGTCACAACAATGTTTCCTCTCAAGTGCTTAGATTTGTTTCAGTTTATTCCTTTTATCATGTATGAATGGGATAATAGTTAAGGGCGTGAATGTTTCGGCTCAGTACAATCCATACATTCACAATGCACAGCATCTACCTGAGCAGAGAATGAGTTCTCTCTCCCTCTCTGTGTGTGTATTAATCCGTGCCCCACTGGTTTTCTCACGGCTGCCGCTCCGCACTGCTCAGCTGCCGCCGTGTCCAGAGGCAATAGAAATGCTCCCAGTCTCAAATTCAGCACCATTAATCCGTCATCCGATTCAAATCTCTACGGCAGAAATCTCGCAAATCCGAGGCCGAAGCGTTTTATTATTCTAAAATAATTGCGAAAATTCGCAATGCAAGACATAGCTGAATTAATTGCGTAGGTGCAATGATAACACTTTTCCCAAACGGGGCTAATGAATTAATGTCACTTCAATCACGATTGTAAGTTCAGAGTGAAAACAATCACAGCGAATTTTCAAACGGGAGTTATTTAGATAAACTGACCACATATTAGGAATCTTAATGGTTGTCCCATGCAAATATATTAAAACTTAATAAAGTTTATCAACAGCTTAAACAGTTTGTTGAGATTTGAAGCCTAAACAATCATTACAAGTTGCATTTTGCAGTTTCAAGTTTAGCTTTTGTACTTAATAGTAAAAAATTAGATCATGTATTCAAAATGTAGAAGATTTTATATTTATGGAAAACAATGCATTATTTTCAAAACATGATGAAAGTTCATGAAGGAATGATACAGGAAGAGCAGAGTCTCCGCCATCTGATTGGTCGGCCTACAGTTTCCCAGCATGCCTTGCAGCCCTACCTGAGCAGGATGAGTTTCACCTTGGGGACGGCGCTCTTAATGATGGCGGAGGCGTTCTGGTGACTTCGCCCATAGAGAACCTGGCTGTTAATCTGACATGAAAACAGAGATATATTGATTATTAACCTCATTTCTGAGAAACATATGATGATAAATTCTTGTTGATCACAAGAAAGCACACACGTCTCAGGCAGACGTTATTATAATCGCTGAGGAAGTGAAGGTGATCATTAGTTATTGATTTTCAAAATTAAAGTCAATACAAGTTTTTAATATGTATTAATTATCATAAACAGTAAGGAATTACTAATTATAATATTAGTGTCAGAATAACACTCTTATCTGACCACACAGACAATTTTCCTGCAGTAACTCCAGATGACTCCATTTTAACACCTCCAAGGTCAACACACACACACACACACACACTAAATTGAGATAGGGGGTAATTGAGAGGTCATTGAGCTGTGAGGCCGTAAACTACAGCAAGTTAGAAGCTACCAGCACCTCCACATGTTTATCAATATCTCATCTATACACACACACATCCCCCTTACAGTATTACAGTACATGGATTTATGCACTAATGTGCCTTTGAACTACGCAACCATCTCTGTGCTGCAGTGTGTGTTGTAGTGAGTGTGTGTTTTAGTGTGTAATTGTCCAGGCTTTCCTCGGCTGACAACAGTTTTTCATGGAGCCTCCGACACTGCTGTAATGAGGAGGCCGCCGAGCGAGAGAGCGAGCGAGAGCGAGAGAGGATCTCTGGGTTTCTCTGTTTAATATTTATAGAAACTAATTGGAAACCTCCTTACACGCATGTGATGCAATAAAATGAGAGCAATATGCTGTGGTTACGGCCAAAATATATAATCTTGATTACCATCATCATGACCAACACAAGACTCATTTTTTTTAGGACTTCATGTTGAAGACAAGTCAACAAGAATAAAACATGTAGCTGCACCCTCGGTAAGGCTGTCATCGTTACCTAAAGTTAAACAATTCACCATCCTAACATGCTCACTACGACAAAGCTAACATGCTGATGTTTATCACGTATAATGTTAACAGTTTAGCTCGTTAGCATTATAGCATTGCAGTCATGAACCAAAGTGTGCACACATTCAAACATTGACTTGATGATGGTGCTAAAGGAGCAATCAGAGGATCACTAAAGTTAATGTGATTCATCCTGAGGGGAACAATGAACCACTTTTCATCCCAATCCATCCAATCGTTGTTGACATATTTCACTTAAAAAAAAAAAAAAAACTTAACCTCATGGTGGCGCTGCAGGAAAAGTCAGGGGATCACCAAAGTTAGAGGGATTCATCCTCTGGGGAACATGAATTTCTGTATGAGGTTTTAGGGCGATCCGCCCTATCGATGTTCTCACCTCCAGCAGCTCGTCTCCGACCCGGATGCGTCCGTCTCGAGCCGCCGGCCCCCCTGGATGGAGTCCCACCACGAAGATGCTGAGGCGAGAACGATCCCTGTTTCCTGCCAGGCTGAGACCCAAACCCTGCCGCTCCTTCTCCAGCTCCACGCACAGCAGCTCCCCCTGCAGGTCTCCATAACGCTCACACCAACGCTCTGCAGGAGGAGGAGGAGGAGGAAGAGTCGGGTTAACAGAGAGCAGAAGTGAAGCCAGAACTTCCTGGTTCTGTTTGTGAGGTAAGAAAAAAAAAAAACCCTGATTCATATTCAGTTTGACATTTTTAATAATGCAAATAACTAAAAATACAGCCTTGGCTCAAAATCGTACTCAGCATTATGTTATGCCGTTAATAGGGATCCATAATAGGGATGCACCACATTTTTTAATTCCGTTACAGATACCAATGTTGGCTTTGGGTATCAACCGATACATTAGACTTGACTTAAACATTGCTTTCTTACCTTTGTAAAACAAAATATGACAAATAAATACAAATGAATGTACTGAATTGTTATTAATTTTTCAAATAATAAATCCTTCAAGCAAATTGGTAAACAATATTCAGAATTTACATTATTACAATTCAAGTGTAAACCTTTTAAATGCAGTGACAAATTGTTCAAACTTAAACAGGACTTAAAATTCCAGTATATCATTTATGTCATATATAAACATAGAACTGACGTGAGCTGTTCAGCCCTATTGTCACCGATACCCGATCCAGCTATATGAATCAGTATCGGTCCGATATGAAATATCGATGCATTCCTACTCCATACGTCTATCGAATTTAAATATCAATATCTAATATCAACAATCCGGTTTTTAGCTGTGTTTAAGGAACACCATTTCCCGTAAGCCTTGAGGTATATAAGGAAAGTCAAAAGAAAATTCAAAGTTTTTATCAATATATAGTTCGAGATAAAGAGATATATAGTTATATTGTCAGTGGACAGCACATTTAATCCTCCCACAATGAACACTGTAATCGTACAAACATCTTGAGTTGACTGAAAGGAGATGAGAGAGATAATGGGGGAAAGAGGAAGAAGGAGGATTCAAGAGGCGAAGAAGAGGTGAGGAAGTAATCGCATAACAGAGAGAAGAGGGAGGGAGGACAAAGAGAGCAAATGGAGGAGAGGAAGATGAGACTCAGCGGGAGAAGAGGAGACAATTAATTTAATTTGGTGTCAAACAAAATGCAGCTTAACAGTCCGTGAAATAAACAAACAAACTGAGAAACCTGGGCGAAATATAAAAAGCGAGATTTAAAACATCATTCGGTCCGATAGAGGCTATCCGTCGTTCTGTCTGAGAACACATCTAGTCAAACTCAAACACAGCGAAGATGAATGCCGAACTCAAACCTTTGCGTATTCAGTTGAGAGATCACATGGCTTCTGACCTTTTCCTAAAAATAAAACAGCTGACACTGGGGCGACGTCTCTTTGCTCCTGGACAGCTGCTGCTAAGATAAGGGTTTTGTGTTTTACAACTGTACATCAGGGATGTAAAGGTCACTGCTGTTATATGGACACACCCAGGACAGAGATAAACCAGTTTAGTGGCAGAATGAAGTAAATCACCTCAAACTGGAGGAGGAGGGAACAAACAGCCGAGAGCTGCTTCTATGTAAACCACAACTCCTCAACAGTCTCACTTACAGCATTTATATGGAGATATGGTTTTAAAATGTACATCTATAGATGTAAATAGCTCTACGGGGCCAGCAGACATCAATGTTGGGACAGTAAACTGAATGATGGAGCAGGAACTTGTTTAGTGTTCAGCAGTGGTGGAGGAACTTTTCAGATTCTCTATTTAAAGGGGACATATCTTGCTCGTGTTCAGGTTCATACTTGAACATGTTTACATGCTGGAATATAACTGTATGCTGTGATTGGATTGCGAGAAAAATACGGTGCACCTTTTGTAAAAGTAGGTCTCAAGCTGTGGGCGGAGATACTCTGATGGAGGGACGGTATATTCTAATTAGTGAAAAAGGCTTCAGTGATACAATGAGAATACAATCTACTTCATTTTCAAATAATGTTTGTATGCCAAATGCATTTCAGTTGAGTGTGTTCTCTGCTGAGTCACTATGTGCAATAAAAAAAGCTTTTGAAGTAGTTTTGATGCAATCTGTCTGCTAAGTTATCAATATGTGATGTACGTATTAGACTATCCAGGTGGTACACAGCAAGTTGCATTTTAAGCTCTATTTTTATATTTTCATAAAGAAAAAAAAAGGAATGGCAATATGTATCGTATCGTAATGTATCGTATCGCAATATATCGTGATATATCGCATCGTGACACGTGTATAGGTATCATGAGGTGCTTGCCAATACACAGCCCTAAAAATACTATTTTACAAGCAAAAGTCCTGCATTGAAAATGTAATAAACACATATCAGGAAAAGTACTCAATGCAGAGACAAGGCCCCTGTTTTCTCTTTCTGATTCATGAAATATGGTGCAGACATGAAATGGCGCTGATAAACCTCTGATGATGTACTTATAATGCTGGTTATAATGAGACATAAGGAAAATATATACAGTATATATATATTTATATACTGTATATATAATGGATTTTATTGAACTTCTACTGCACATGACAATCAAATCACTAAAAATGTATTTCACATCATGTTAACATCAGCACAGTAAAGATCTTTTCAGTGAACATTTTCAGTATTTGTTCTTCAGAATGAGAGGAGGAGAAGATGAGATGTCGTGTTAGGTGAGATGATGAAGATACAGAGAGATAATGATGACAAATGTAAAGCGAGCGATGGAGCGAGCCACAGTGGAGAACCCTTGAGTGAGATTACACACACACACACACACACACACACACACACTCACACACACACACACAGGCAGCCAGAGGTGTGTGTTCGCCTCATCAGATCCAATCATCAAGAGTCAGGGTTGAGTGTTTCATTCCCTTGAGCAAGGCACTGACTGACACATGGTTCATTGTGGTGTGTTTTTCAGTCTCCAAGTTTTCAAGTGTTTTGCATATCTGTGTAATTTAGAAAGAAACTGAAGCTGCACAACGAATCCTGCATGACGATATGTTGCTATGGTGATAGAATGAAATATATTAAATACAATTATTTTGTGGCTACTATATCATCTAATTATTCTAGTAACGCTTGTAGCTGTAAAATACAGCTTCCTCCTAATATTCTATTGCAAACTTAAAGCTAGGGTTGGTAATATTAGAAACTAGCAAGAGCACGCTAGATTTGATAAAAAGATATTCACCTGAAAGATCCAGCCCAGTGTTGCCAACTCTTTGCCAATGAAAGCAGCAATAGTTCCAAAAGTTGCTACATTTTGCAAGAAAGTCTCCAAGTTGGCAACAATGACAGCCCGGCCCTTCAGGGCTAAACTAAGTAACACTTAGTAAGTGAATCAAAAGAAATACCTAAAACACACTATGTTGAACTACGAGCAAAAGCTAAACCACAGGAATCCACCGAACAACAGTCCAAAATCTCAAACTATCCTACAAAATACTATAAACACCCAACTAACTATAAAGTTACACTGAAATAATTTATGCTAACAGTACAATAAAAACCTCTCTTCACAGTCTGCTGAGTCGGGAGACGTTGGTTATGAAGGAGGGGGATTGGTGATAAAACGGACCAGATCAGCCAATAGCAAAATCTAATTGCAATAGCTGTGTTTCAACCAGTAGAGTGCAGTTGCTATGTATATTTATAGCACATAGAATTTAAATACTTTGCAGTAAAATGTCTAGATTAGGACCTGAATCAGGTTTAGTTTACTCTTTAACAGAGCTTTAGTCAGAGCTCAAATGATGGAAAACCATGAGAAGATTTGTTTCATGTATCGATGTGAGGAAGGTTACAGTCTCTCTATCGCTCCACACAGATCTAATGTTGTCAGCACTTCACTTTAAGTTACATGTAACATGTGTGAACATCATCATTTATTGTTTTGGGACCTCAGACTTCCGCTATATAGAACTGAACATTTTGGGTTTTTGTCCCATCGCCATAGTTACGTCTTTGGTTTTCCAAGAACAGGATCACAAATATTTGCTGCTACCTGCTTGGTTTTGTGCAAGTATCAAACTTACTATTGACGTATATTAATTAAGCTTTAAAATGAATGACTTGTGTTAAATCAACGTTAGCTCATCTGTGACTTTCCCCGGGAGGGAAATTTTTTTTTTCTTTTTAAAAAAACAGAAGTGAAGTAAACAGGATTCAAAGATGAATCGATGACATAAAACATGCTAAATTACAGTTGAGGCTTTTTAAGTATTCATTGTAATTGAATTTCATTTCAACAGTCTTGTTGTTTTCTGTTGTAAACAAGTTAGTTTGAGGTGTTCAACCTTCGCACACAGACACTTTCTGCTTAATTTAATGAAAGCGTAATCGTTTTAGCAGCACAGAAAGCAAACGTGTGCGTGCATTTACAGCTTAATGGGCTATTAACTGTTTTAGCGATACCGCTAACAGTTGGCGTGTGTGTGTGCTGCAGGTGTTAGTGTGTCTCAGGAGGGAGAACAACTGAATGAAGGTGGCCGAAGGACACATCAGCAGCACTGATGATGGAGGTGTGTCATATTTATCATGTAGAGTTTAATGTTTGTAATTCTAGATGAAGACGAGATTCATTTCACTCTGACAGGATATTATTTTGCCTTTTCTCCATCCAAAAACAAACCCACTAAAGAGACTAAAACCAATAATGAATGTGTTACCGTCTGTGTAGCAGAAGGCTGGTGGAGCTCCTATTCTCCTCTGGAGCAGAACTGAGAGTCCAAAACCTATTAAAAGCCATTCCGCTGCACCGATGCCGAGTGTAAAATAATACGCCTGGAGGAACAACGGTGAGCTGCTCAAAATACTTGGTTAACAACAACGCTGATTTCATTCGCCAATTAATTTCGATCAATTCTACATTTTTTGGAAACTCAACACTTAATGCTGATTCTTCCAAATGTTTTGGCTATTCGTCAGATGCTTTCCACAAACAATCCATACATTCCTCAGTCTCCTCCCCTGGAGGCCTGGGTATGAGAACATGTGAAAGTATGTGCAGTGATATTTAGGGAGGGGGCTCCTTACAAGAAATGGATTTAGCTGTTTCAAGCTTGAGAGAG